CAGCACTTAACTGAGTAGAATTAATTCATCATTTAAAAAAAGGAAGTAATTATTGTGTAAGAACAGAACTTATATGTATTCTAAATATAATAATGATATCATTCTTTGCCAATTTTTATATCATTATCATTGGAATTGATTAACCGATTAACGGAATGAATCAGATCTTTTTAAATACAAAATGAAGTAAGCTCAATTTTTTTTTTTGAAAAAAATTGACTGGTGAGAAGAATTTTCTCGCTTTCAAAAATTTGGACAAATTTTTAAAAAGCAAAATAAAGCAAGCTTGAAAATTTTGATATGATATGGCTAATTTTAGAGAAAGATGTTTAGAACAAAGGGAATTCAAATTTTTAAATATTTTAAATGCTGAGATATGTAAACGTTATGATGACAGTCAACATGGAAGAGAGAAAGAGAGAGAAAGTGAAGAATATGTACCTGTTATAATTCTATTTATCAAAAAAAAAAAAATTTATCATATTACATTTTAAAAAAATTTAAGGGTTTAACAAAAAATAAAAAAGAAAAAAGGACGAAAATGATGATTAATGAAAGGAATCATTCTAATTAATCTTATGATTGCTAGAAATTATAAATTATTGACGTATTTTTTGTTTTCTTTTAACATCCATTCATTTATTTTATACAATGCTTAAATTTTTAAAAATAGGATGAAATTTTGTTAAGGAAAAATTTAATTGATAAAAATGTAAAATTTGCATGATTGGTAAATTTTTTTGTAAAAAATTAAAATGCATGTGGGATAAATGATAAGAGTTTGTGAAGAAATGGATAGACGAAACGATTTGATAACGATTGTTCCGACAGCTTCCTTAGTTCTTTTTTCTCTTTTTTTATGGAAAAAATATGGAAAATAAGATTTAAAAAGCACGAGGTGAGGACAAGGACATACAAGTAAGACATAAGCTGTTTTATATGAAGAAGCTCAAACACATTTAAAGAACCTTCTTCGAATAATAGCGAGCACAACAACAGCCTAAGACTTCCTTAACTTAGACTTGGCCAATAATGCACACACACACACACACACACATACACACACATGCATGCAAAGTATGAATGTTGTATATCCATACATAAATTATATATAGACATTCATTAATCGTATTTGTTGATACGCGAGGGTCCTATTAATTTTTTAATTCAAACCCGATTTGTGGGATTGTGTCACAAATTTTGAAATAAATTTTGTTTAAAATGAAAAGAAATGGAATAGATGAGAGACAATAATGGCCAAGACAAGCCAAGAGAAGATAAGTAGACCAAAGATTTTTAATTCTCGAAATGAAGCAATCAAAAATCTTAAGAAATTCATAAGGAATTATTCGACTGTCACAATGCAAATAATTAAAAGGAAAAATTTCACATTATTATATCATTGTCGTGTAATTTGAATAAATGGATTAAAAAATGTATTAGTTTTAAATGGAATTATAAAAACGAATTTATAACTGACCTTCATATTTTAGATATTTTAGATCCATTTTAAAAAAAAAAAAAGATTAGCAAATGCTAGTGAATAAATTTAAAAATTAAGTGTAACAATGTATGCCAGCAATACAATTAGATTTTGACGATTGCTAGAAATGATAATTTTTGATGATTAGATTCTATTAAATGAATATGAGAAAAAAAGGTAAATATTTAATATCATTGACAAATAGAACTCAAATATTTGAACGAGCAATTAGAATACTAAAGCTGAGTGAATCAATTGTATTCAATTGACATACATACAATATTATAATGTCATTTTAAGGAAAAATAATCAAAATTTTTGATTTGAATTCAAAGATTGCATTTTATACTATAAATCATTAAGGTATTTTCTCTCCACTTCCGATCAATCAACACAAAAAATGGAAGTGTGCAGGAAGTGCTGAAGAATGCAGAAATGCTTGCTTGCTTCACGAAGCAAGAAATAATCCTTCAAGTTCATTATTAAAACGTAAATTACAAACTCCAAGCAAACTTTTTAATGCTTTTGTGAAAATTTTGTTTATTTTGGACCAATTTTAATTTTTAATTTTTCACTTATTTTTGACTTAATTCTTCAAGATTTGTTTTCGATCTGATTTTTTTAATTTAAAATTGTTCACATTTTTCTCATTAAAAAAATACATATAATGTTTTTTTTAATGTTTGAGCTTTTTTTTGACTTGTTAAATGAGCTTGTATTTCTCTTTTAATATGTTTCTTGCCAGGGGAACATTCAAGAAGTATGTGAAATTTGAAATATGATAACTAAAAAGAGGATGCTTTTCGAAGAAGCATGCCGTCAATTACATGACATAAATTCATTTTATTTTTGCTTCACCATTTTTTTCCTGTTTATGAAAAAGAAAATTTTCAAGAAATTATTTTAGTTATGTATATTCTCTAATTTTATTGTTAATAAATAATTCTATTTTTTTTATGCTCTAATTTTATTGTCAATAAATAATTCTAAAACAATGAATTCTTACGATTGATTATAACACTTTATAGAGAAATTCAAACTTCATCACTAAGTTTGAAAATTCTTTCAAGCTCATCTGTCTTACGATAGATAAAGTTGAGAGATCGAATTACAAATAAATATTGGTGCGAACGAGCATAAAACCAATTTATTGCTTTCATGTCCGAAGCCAATTTCATCTTCATATTTCCTACCTTTGAAGATTTAAATTATTCTTCTCTCATCATCCTACTTTTTCTCTTCTAACTTTACTATTACTGCTACGAATGAGCTCGTGAAAGTTTACTTAAATCAAAAATGAGATGTAAAGCGGTGTTGAAAAGACAGACAAAATTTTCCAAATTATTTTGATGGTTTTAACTGGCAAAAGAAAGCTTAGTTTAAATATCATAGAAGAATCAAAAAATGACATTGATATCTTCTACATAAGCTTCCTTGCACTTTTTTTTTACTTGTAGATTTTTAAATTGATTTTTGGTTTTCTTCCTATATACGAATTTAAATTTTGGACAAACTTATAGTCGTTTTAAAAATTTTATCGAATTTTATAAAATCATCTTTATTGAAATACAAAAAAAAGATCCGAAAGATAATCGAAAACAAAAATTATGCTAACAAATTGACATCTTAATGAAATTAATACTGCAATCAAAATACTTAAATATTGTAATCAATTATTGAGTCAAAAATTTGTTGATTTCAGTTTCCATAACTTAATCTGCCAAATTTTTGCCTTCAATTCAAAAATACTACTTATTCGATCAAAAACTGAATGAAAGATGATAGAGTGGAAGAATTTAAAATGAAGTTATTGATTTACAGTGATAACATCATAATGATCACTGATAACTTCTTCTTTTTATCAACTCACATCTCTATGATTCTGTTATTATATTTTTCTAAAATTAGACAAAGCTTAATATACAATAAAATGGTTCAAAAATAAAACATGCTTTATCGATAACACTTCAAAAGCATTAGCTTTTAAAATTTTATTTGTAATGTACTATCAAAATTTAAATAAATTGTCAATAAAATATGCGACATAAAACTTCTACATCATAGCATAAAGTTATGTAATATGATATGGTTAATGTGATTAATTAATTTCAATAAATGATAACATTACAGAAAGATGAATTTATGAAAAGAAATAAGTACTTCTAATCGTTTCTTCCAAAACTAATTTTTTAGGAACATGGGTTATTGAAATTTTATAATCATTTGCCAGTTTATACAAGTTCCATAGATAGGAAATTGATTAATTGAATTTAGAGGAGAAATTTTCAAAACCTCTAATTTCTGGGCAATAGTTTACGGTGTACTGTAGTTGCAAAATACTGTAAATAAGATAATTAATGTCAAATAGAATAAGCTTTTTTGGATGAGTGAATTAGCTATTTTAATCAGTGTTCGGACAAGATCAGATGTTGAATTAAACTTCACCAACATCATCTCAGCACTTTAATTACTAAGCAGAATTCATAAACGTCTAACATGGATGATAATACATCACAAGAAATCACACTTATAGGTAACTACAAATATATATGGACACACAAGTATAAAGCAGACTGAAGTGTTGTTACGAGAATGTAATCCTAGATTAATCCTTTAAGTTGAATTTGAAGCTGTGTAGAATATAGATCTCTTATACAAACTAATTTTTCCGAGTTTTTTAAGTAATTTAAAAGCAACCAATTCAAATGACGATTAGTGTCAAAATCTCTGTAAAGAACATTGCCTGATCCGTCGAAAAGTAGGAAACAGTTCTGACGGACTACTTCCAATCAACTGCTAATAATAACCCCCAATTATCTACACTTCATATTTGAAATCATATCGACCATCTGTCATCAGATTACATATGACCATTTGGTGTGTCGTGCTTCCCGATAACCATATTTTTTCCCAATCATTGGTTAAACTTCTGGCAGTTGGGAATTCCTTCCAAATGGTAATTGGCATACTCAACATCTAGTAAGAACTGAAACCACCGGTTATAATACAGTTCATGATGCAGAAGAAATTTTTAATACATTTCAAACACATATCCACAAAATTTTTCATGAAAAATCAAAAAAGATCGCCAATACGAAAAAACTTCAAAGTGACAAAATATTTCAGACCGATAAGAAACCAATTTTATTTACTCAATTTTGCCTACCTCACCACTTGTTTTATCCTGCAGCACAATTAGATAAAACAACAATAACAGCGTAGATGTTAAGGGAAAACGATAATGAAAAGTATGAATCACAATGGAAGTTGAATTGAAAAATTTCTTAGAAGCAACCAATTGCTTTTCTCTTTCTTTCATACTTTTTTGCGATATTTTCAATCATTACTTTTTCTACTACATAAGTTTGCTGTACGCCAATAGATCGTATAACACATCCTAAACTGTAAATACTTCAAAGCATTCTTTTCCGGCCAATATCCCTACTAATAACATATCAGTTAATATAATATTCAAACAAAAGACATTGTACAATGTATAAACATCCTTCTATACGTTCTAGGTGCTGGCTAATTTTGCGGCACTTGCATCACATGCTACTATTTTTACACGATCAACAACACCATCTACCGGCTGTGTTACATCACGGAATTCGACATTTTCCATTACAAATGTCCAGACATTATCACAAAATCGATATGCTTTCAATTTGTCAGCCTATAACGAAAATCATAAGATGCATTTCATCAGCTCCTCTGCTTCATCTTTTTCCATAACAGTTGAAAAGTCCCACAAAGCACAGTCAAGGGATGCAGCACTAATGTTAATCCCAACCAGTCCAAACCGAATTTTAATCTTTTCATTTTCCTGTCTTTGCCATCTCTACTATCATTTTTCTATCTCTACCATTTACATTTTGATTTTCCTTTATCTGATCCTCAATATCTTTTGAACCTACACATATTAAGATCTAAGAGTCTCAATGAAGATGAGAATATCACACATTATTCCAAATAATATTACGTATTGCTGACAAACTTATAGAACCTTGCTTGCTTTCTCCTGAATATTGTTTTAATGGAACAGTCTCAGCAGTTTGAATATAAAACTGAGATTCACTTACCTTGAAATTAACCTTGTTTTTAACTCGCTGAGATAATGCCCGGTTAATGCATTTGTCGAAAGTTGTCAGTACTGTTTGAGCTAAAGAAGGCGTGATTGTGCCATCCTGTAATCACATATAAATAAAGAAATATATCTACCTTAATATAACAATTATTTCGCAACATTGAAGCTTTTTCGTACAGGAAAAATGTATAAAATAATAGAAGCTAACCTCCACAAATTCATCCAGAGTGCTTCGAAGAGCCATACCCAATGTTGTTGATCTATACAGTTGATAAGACATCTAAAACTTGACATTCAAAGTCACTGTTAAAACGATACCTGTCAAACAAAGAACGCATGTGTAAATTGCAAAACGTGGCATGAATCTGCAGAAAGACACACAGATCCGTAGCGTAAAAGAGAAGAAAGAAAAGATTAGAAAAATTGATAGTTGAGACAAAATAAATAAATAATATAGTGCATTCTCTCCTTTCATAATTCACGTTCATATAATGTTTAGAAATTTGCACGAAAAATATATAACGATTCTCGGATATCGAATCATGAAAGTCCCACACATTCTTGAAAATTTTATTAATTACATAAACATAATATAACAACAGCAATGGAAGAGGAAACTCGTTGATTCTCAGATCCTCAACTGTAAACAAATCACATTCGTCTAGACAGATAACAAACAACAGGACTGTTTTTTCTAATTCAAAAACAATTGATGAAAATTTTTCGACTTTCCGAATCTTGAACTGATGACAAAACATTCTAAAATGATGGCACTAAATGGATGATTTTACCGGTTTACAGAAAATCTGCAAAGCTGTCCAGAAGTATATGTCGTATATAAAATCGGTCCTTTCATAGATAAATCCATTGATAGTAAATGAAAACTTTCCGCAGCAATACTTTGTGACAGCACTACCTGGAAGAAATAGCTCACCATTCATTTTTCAATTAGAAAAAGTTAAACATTAAAAATCATACTTGAACACACGCAAATTTTCAAAGATGGAAAGAAAAACGCAGAAATTTCAAATTTTCAGTTGAAGAGTTATCAACAGTATCAGCATTGTATTTAAAAATAAAGCTTTACAACAATTTATAGGCTAATAATTAATATTGAAGAATATACAGTTGACTGTGCGGTTATCACTAAGACAAAAGACATATAATAAACATTTTATCACATATGATAAAGCGATGTATTTTGGAACTAGAACATTCCGATTTAACTTTTTGACCTTAAAACATAAATAACATTTTGTAAAAATTGAATATAAATAAGGAAAAGAAAACCTACTAAGAGTGGTAATCCGTTTCGACTATTCCACATTTTAACCATGCCACTGTAACCAGCACTGATAATATACATCTCATTCAAATCTGTCATATACCACCGACAGGTAACTACTGAGTCAGTATCATCTTTGAGAATGTGACGTAAAGTGCTGGCACTAAAATCATAGATTGCCAAGCGACCAGAATTAGTGCCAACGACGAACCACGGCTCTTTTCCTGGACAAAAGTTCACGCATTCGATTGACACTTCAGAAGTCTGGAAATCAACAGAATAATTCACTTAAATATAACTCAACACATTTGCTATGTAAGTGGGTATTTTCAGAATGGCAATACACCATTAGAAAATAATGTGAAGGATAGAAGAAAAGCTTTACCGTATCTCCTTCAATCACTGTAAATATTCTTAATATCTTGGCGGTTTCTATATTCACTAAATAACATCGTGCCGCAAGATCTCCAATAATTGCCAAAGGTGAATTATAATGAATATCCAGGCATGTAGCGCTTCCAGCCCCTGTCACAATGCTAGTCGACTTTTGATCTTTCAGAGACCATAATCTTACAGAACCATCCTCATAGCACGAAAGAAGTCGTTTTCCATCATTTAGCAATTTGACATCGACAGATGTGGTAAGCGAATCAAATATGTATACCTGTATTTCAAATGCAAATGGTCAATCAATAATTATAATTATTCAAAAAATGTATTGCTATTTGGTATTATAATGATCGACTTGAGAGTTAAGAAACATAACAATGCAATGAAATGAATCGGCATGAACAGTGCTGTAAAAAACAAGAAAATGATAAAAACCTTTGTCTGTCGAACAGTGTCGGTCGTAACAAGCCACATCCAAATACCATTCTTACCACCAGCAAGCAAAATATCTGCAGATGAATGCCATTGTATACACGATAACTCTTCGCAATCATCAATCTTAAAATTAAATGCTCATTCCATTTTAAAATAACGCGCCGCAGAAACTTGAACTTAGCAACATGTAATTACATAATTAAATAATTGAAGCTGAGGATCTTCTGTCACAAACATAAAAGTTCCATCTCTGTATTTTTTATCCGTAAAAAATGGCACATAAAGAAAATAAATTAAATTAAATGAAAACTTTTTATTCTGGACCAAAAAATTCTGTAGAAAAAATATGGGATTCATTTATTCTAATCCTCTAAACCAGAAGGAGCGATTAGTATCCTATCTCTTGACAAGAAACCAGAGATCTTTCCGAACACTCACCGAGAAACATCGTCTTAGGTGTGTGGTGCTGCTTATTACAATCAAACCGCTCATGTCGCCAGTGGCCAACAAGTGCCCTTTCACACTAAATTGTGCACATATCACACTATCTTTGTGTTCATCAATTCTCAAAACCAGTTCCAAACCTTGAAAATAAAAATTATGAGGAATAAAAATTAGAACGGATTACATCAAAGCACGTTACACAACAATGCAAAATACATTAGTGTACATTGATGAACTAAACTTAGCTTTTATTTTTCTTGTCACTTAAAGTTAATGAATTCTATGTTAATCGTAAAATTTCCAGAAAAATTGTAGAAAAGAATAAAATCTCTCTTACTAATTCAATCGTCGAGTTAAGCACATATCTTCTTCTCTTAATAAAAGTTGATTCTACAGAGAACGAAAGAAAAATAAAACTCTATAATGAAAAAAATTTCAATCAATTCAAGATCGAAGCAATTCATTAAAATTTGACAACAAAAAATTACTTTCCAAGCTATACAAAACGGCCTGGTCATCTTTTCCACCAACAGCAAGCCACCGATCTTGAAAACATACAACAACGAAAGCTTCATCTCTGCATGCCGGAATTATAATATCAGCCTCCGTTATTACATTCGGGAAATCTTCAATGCCATCTATTTCTTTATCATTATTCTCGGCTAATTCCATATCTTCATCTAAATCTCTTTTCATTTTTGACAATTTAACAACTTTTTAAATTTTATTCTATCTCATATAAAGTCTAAAAGGAAACACAGTGATTGAAAAAGTTGCTCAATTTCAAAATTAAGACAAACACTACCTACTATAAGAATTAAAAGAGATCGATCCCTTCTGAAATGAAGAAATAGGACCAATCTATTGTACCTCCGACTTCCGAAACATCACATGTCTTATTGGATACTTCTGAGCAGCCATTTGTATTATCGTACAAAGGAATAATGTTTACAATATCCTTCTCATTAGACAACTCTTCATCTTCGTCATCTCTTTCTTCTTCCTCCATCTCTATAATGAATGATATAACTATATCAATTAACGACTATAACAATAATTAGTATGTTGATTAGCTGTCTTTCTATTTATGTAAAGTGTCAATGGTCCCGATTATATGTTATAGATAGAGACAACAACTTCCCACACAATCAATAAAACACGCAACGCACGTGAAGGAAGTGACAGTAACGTGAGCACAATGATACGGTCTCAAAGTATCGCTGAACACGCTGTGTTGTGAATTGAATGCATCAGCATGAAAATTAATAATCCCGCAGAGTTGTCTTCTGTTCACAAAAATCTGCCCCACCTCCTTCCTTCGCTATTGATTCAGTTTTAATGACTGGTAATTGGTTTAATGCTGTCGATAAGTGCTTCGTAAGATTGAAATTCAGGTTAGTGAATTAAATTCTTATAGATTTTCATTTCATTTCAAAAATTTTTAGCATAAAAAATCGCTTCTCATTATTGATAAGTGTATCTTTCCTCTTTTTTATAGTCCTTAGGATATCTACAAAGAAGGAAAAGAAGGATATTTTCATCTAACATATCTTTTTTCAATGAGTTTCATGGATGATTGTGAGATTATTAAAAACTCTTAAGTAACTAAATTGATTTTAAAATTTTGTATAGGAAATTCATCGTTTAAATAGATGCTGTTTTCGTAAAAAGAGAAATGAATCATATTCATCCGGTAACATAAACATTTATTCAATCGTTGTGACAATTCCTTATTGACTCATTCAGTGGTTGCTGCATTGAGGAGACGAATGGATTAAGCATATAAATCAATCGATCATCCGGTTATATGATGATGATCCGGTTACATCAACAGCCATAATTAGAAATGACATCTATTCTTGTTTAGATACCGTTTTTGGGATTGTGAAGAATACGGTTGTTACACCTCTCTCTGCATCTTTACACGTTGATCAGACAAGGCATTACTCGAGAAGCTTTCATTGCACATGCTTCCCACGCAATCATCCCATCCACTCACAATCTAAAGATACTATTCCTCAAGCGTGCTGGATGGATGGAAATGTACGTGCGAGTGTTACTCTGTCTGTCTCTTTCCCAAATATCTTTCAAGACGGATACACACACATGCGATAATAATATATACATATATAATGGAGTGTGTGTGCGCTTGTCTGTATGTGAGCATGTGTGTGTGTGTGTGTGTGTCTGCATGTGTGTCTGTATGTGTATGTAACTATGTCAGTATGCTCGGGAGGAAAGCGGCAGAAAAAGGAGCGCAACAACGACAACGACTACCAAGCGACGGATCGAACGACCGACCGACCGACCGATCGACCGATCCGAGTGGAATCGATGCCGAAGACTGGGTTAAAAGAGAATGGTGTAGGCGGTTGGGTGCTGATCTGTACAGGAATACCACGTTGATCAGTGCCGACGATAGGTATATTAATTCCTGTTATTTCTACTCTTTTATTGTTCCTGCCGGATAACGTGACGGTTCCTCATAATGCTGTCATTTATTCCGGTACGTTTTTCTCATGAGCACGTTAACTTTATAAGCGATCGATTATGTTCTGACTGATGAATGATAGATAAAATGGGCTGTCTCATAAACTTTTCATAACCCCTTATCCGATTATTCAGATGACATCTTTACGTGATATTCGTCCATTGATCAGGTTTAGTGGAATTATGGAATTTTAGGTTGCATAGATAGAGCTGTAATGGAATCACTCCATTTTCACACGGTTACATGGTTGATCACGTGATTTTAAGTTACTTTATCGTTGTGGTGGCTGATTGTCATGTAATTTGTCGTTATTTTATTTCCTAACGCTGGTTGAATTGAAATGAATTTGATGCTTTTCGATTCTTTGCTAAACAATGATCATCTTTCTGAGAAGTATATTTAGTAGTTAACGGCATTCTTTTGTTTTTTTCTTTCATGTTTTATTTTATAATGAAATGAAAAGTCGCCAGTCATTGTAAACGAAGCAAACAAATGAATCATTCCGATTTTCCGGAAACAATAAATCCTGTGACTGAAGCAAAGATTGTAGTGTAAGATGAATCCGAGTTAACATACATCAGGGTGATTTTATAGTTATGTGTTAACCTTTGAACTAAATGTTTTGTTCAACATGGCTAATTTTTACTTAAACCAATAGGTAATTGTTGAGGATTACCAAAGTTTCAAAATTCAAGCACACAACTGTGCAATTTCCAGCTCTACTTTTTCTATCAAGTAAATCACTTGTATATTCTGTTCTTATATATTCTCATTTCCTTTAAAATGTCCATTCCGTTTACTTTCACTGTCATTTTAGTTGAAATTGACGAATTGTTGAATTTAAAAATTTCTTAGGAAAGTGACAGAAATGATTACTATTTATTGAATATTTCAAAGCTGACAAAATTACTTTAACATACCATAGCTGTTTGACGGACACAGTTGAAAATGAGCAAACTTCGGTGATCAGTTTGAATGAATTTGATGTTAATTAGTTACGATATTGTTCTTTTTCAGTAAATTTACTGTATTCCGAAGAATTGCGATGATTATAAGAGAACATGAAGAGGAGGACATAGATGAATATAAATTAGTAACTATTATGTTTGATTTTCATACAGCACTGTTCTTAGTATGGTCTTTGTTTAATTTCATTTGGACTCTGTGCTGTCTGAATTTAAGGCTCTATAGAACATATAAAGTGCAAGTTATGGTTTATCGGGCAGGATGAAAATCTTTTGACGGACAATTTACGGTAGTGCATATATCTACTATCTATATTGTCACTGGACCACCAAACCGGTTTTTGATGAATATCAGCTGATAGATCCTGCAAAGTAAAACTGCAAGAAATTACCTGTCATGAACTTCTTAACTACATGCGCATGGTTTCACCTTGTCCATCATCCGGCCATCTCAATGAGATTTTATTTAGTCTACAAGCAGAATTACTGGTTAACGTTTAACATTGTTCTCAATAATGAATTTTGCATCTTCAGAAGTTTTGGCATGTGCTTTGTATTCGAGAATTTTGCATCTTCAGAAGTTTTGGCATGTGCTTGTATTCAAAGATTATAGGATAATCTGCCAAATTGAGGAAGGATTTTATGTATTTTAGCTACGCGGTTTTTGAGTTTTGTGGACGAAATTCGCGGTTGAGAAGTAGATATTTTATGGTTATTAAGAATGTTAAATCTAAAATACAACCTATTTATTCGGGAAATTTTATATCGAATTAGAATTCTTTATTGTTTATATGCCTAACAATATTAAGTAGAAACTTAAAGTTTGCATGATTTTTAACAGGCAATTGCATTTAAAGGTTAACTTATGCTAACACTGCTGATGATAGCAGTCATTAAAAATATACTTAATCATCGTTTACTGGCTGGTAGTGAGTTTCATCTCATCTTTAAAATATTGTTTAGAACTGATTATTCTAATATAATTCGTTTCTTGGTTGATTTCGTACGTCCGACTTTAGAATTTGAAATATACATTATCATAGTTGACAATAGATGGCTCTTGACTGCATTACAAACTGCGTTTGGTTGAGACAAGTGAATTATGATCAGAATTAATTTAGGGAATCAAGTATTTCAAATTTTTGGACTAGCCGGCTTGGTACTATATAATACTAAGACCTCTCGGTTTTACTTGGACCTTTTCTCCATCATTTTAAAGGATACTAGGCAAATAATTTTTCAATAATTTACGGAATAAAAGTGGGAAAACTGTTAGCGTATTAATGTTTTTGTATACATTTTATTTTTCTTCTGAACATTTCTATCCTCAAATTGCGTATCATTTTCGTTATACATACAGTCTTATGATGTTTTTTAAATTTCAGGTCGTTGCATCTGTACTACTAGCATTTGTGATTTGTCATCGCTGTGTTCTTTCTGTCATCATTTTATTGATAATGGCGCTAAATATCATTCAGTACAATTATTACAATTCATATTATTTGTTGGATATTCTTACAATCAATACGAAAAGGTGATAGATTATTTCATGAATTGTATACTATACAACTACAGCAAACAATCGATTTGAATGCCTTGCTATTATCCATCTTTCTAGAATTTCTGTTCTGTTGGCAACAGCTGGCTCCTGAGAAAGAGTAAGTCTTTTTTTCTTAATTATAAGCAGAACTAATGAAGCTACCCTTAAGTGAATCAGATTATTCTCCGTGGCTTCCCAGTTCTTTAATGCCTGATTTTATAAAATAATGTAAGCAGGAAGAGCTTAATTTTCTGATTAAGCTGAGTTTTTTCCTTGCTGTGTTGGAAATTGTCTCTGCAAAGATACAGTTCTATTCTTATTTGGCTGATTATTGGATACTGCAGATACTATATTTATGCATTCGCAAACTTGCTGCATAAGATTCCAAAACTTCACTGGTCTAACTTAATTGATTAAAAAATTATTCATTCTTCCGGAGAATCATTCTCTTTGAAATTATGGTGGTTGTTAAGTTGCCGGTTTGAAGATAATATTTTGGATTTGAGTGTTCATGCACTGAAATTAGGTTAACTGCTAGACTCTAAACTTAATACAAGCTTCGTTGACGTACATCCGTCTCTTTTTTTCTGATCTCGTTCGTAGAATAGTATCTTAAGTAATTTAAGCATGGTTATAGAAGTTACTTCCATTCGGGACTCAGAAAAAATTATTTTCATTGTTTTAATCCAGAATTATTTCACTCCAATCTGTATTAAAAACCCCCTGTGTTAATTGCTCAGAACGACATCGTTAATTACCCAACAAATTTTTTTCAATCTCGAATACTGGATGCAAAACATTAAAAATGAAAATTTGAATTTTTGTTTCCATCGCATCCCAATCTTTGAAGAGCGAAGAGTGTTCAATTCTCTTTAAGAAAACATGAAATTGGAAATATTACCTTAAACCAAGCACATGTGTATTTTTTCTTTTGTTATCAAGATTTTTTTCGATACTTCATGACAGAAACAGAATATGAAGAAGAGTTTTTGTTTTGGAGCAGTGGTTAAGAGTTGAATTATATGGTCCCTTGAGGTGCGATAAGTTCTTTCTGAAGTTGGAAGGGAGCTCTCTCCATTCATTCACATACTTTGTGTCCTATTTTTATGTTCTCCTTTCTGCATGACAGAGTTGCTGGTTCTAAGATATTATAAACTATTTCGTTAATAATTCAAGAGAAATTTTTGCAATTATACGGTCCCCCACTGAGTACTCTTAACGGTAAATGTGTGTGTGTGTGTGTGTGTGTGTGTGTGTGTGTGTGTGTGTGTGTGTGCACGTGGATGACTCACAACAGCTCTTCGTCGTCATCGTCATTTGTTGTGCAGTGGAGGCGGTTGGGAGGGTGTGTGTCGGTAGTTGCCTGTCGGGAGTGAGCCAAGCGAGAGGTTGTATGGCGCGTCGTTCCTAGGGGAAGGGAGTTGGTTGTGAGGGTGAGAGGGACGGTCCCCCATTTTTGCGGGGCTGGAAATTTGTTGAGGTTGAAGGAAAGGCCTTCGCGAGGTTATTTTGTACTGTGAGGCGGACGAAGGCATTACTCCTTCACCGTCGCTCCCTGCCTCATCGTCACAGGTCGTATAACGTGCTGCTCTCTCCACATTCACATCATCTCTCCTCTCGGCATTGTATTCCTTCAAGTTTCTCACTAATCGATCGGTCGGATACACTCCGCCCCCCACTCAATGTATGGAGGGAGGTGTGTCCTGCCATACTTCCCCCATGTCTGTGTGTGCACATTCAATGAATTGCGTCTCTTCGGGAGGGCGCCCCTTCCCGGACATTATCGCAGCAGCAACAGCAGCTACGCAACAGCAGCAGCAGCAGCAGCAGCAGCAGCAGCAGCACTTGTAGATACTCTACTCTCTGCGGTTACATTTTTGGCACACTCATATATACACATACATATGCATACACACATACACACACACATACACATACGCATGCTGCAGCACGTTGCAGCGAGGAGCCTGACATATCATCAAATATTGAGCGTTTTGGTTATGGTCGTCGTAGTAGTTGTATTTCTGCCGTTGAATTTATCTTGAGAGAGAAAAAAGGAGGAAGTAAAATGGAAAGTTTAGAGAAGTCCCATTTCCCGCCTTGTCGCGGAAGATGGGCTGCGTTGCCCGGGGGATAGGCATATTTGGCACTTTAGAAGGACCTCGTTAATATCACGCTTTATTTTCTCGATTCATGCTGTTCTGTTGTTATATTACCGGGAGGTCTAGGAATGATGTCGTTAGTTTGATTTCAGTTCGTTATAATAATAGGTTGAACGGTGCCCGAAGGTGTAGTAGTAGCAGCAGCTGCTGCTGTTGCTACCCACCCGATACACGGTTGCAAGCCGCTGAGGAAGTTTGTTTGAATTTATTGCATAAGAAAGCAACTGTATTTAACGGCGGTATCGGTCACATATTCCGCTACCACTATTATTATTACTACGAGCCACACCATTAGTAGCAGTCCTACTTGGATTTGAATTAAACAGGCTGAAAGGAAAGCAGAAGCAGCAATAATACATAATATCGCAATAATGGCGACGACGAGTAAGCTGTCATTTCGGGCGAGAAATTTGGATGCGACAAAATCGATGCCTGTATACTGCGCTGATGAATTACCCGATCTGGCTGAATGTACACCGATCAATCGGGCAGTGGCACAAATGCCAACGGGTATGGAAAAAGATGAAGAAAATGTAGGTGCCCTCTTCCTCTCCCACATCAAACACTTCCATGCTACTTTATTGCTTCAAACGATTGTCTGATTTTCTTTCCTTTTTATACTATTTTCAGTGCGTTTGTTAGCTGTAAGCATATCCACCTCTTATACCTATCCTCGATAAGCAGCGATTTGCTGCTCGCTCCCTACCATAGTCAAAATTTCAAACACATTTTGCAACGACCGCTCTTTCCCTCTCTATTTTTATTTTATCTATAGCATCATTGTTTGGGAATTTGGAATTCTGTCGATGCCATCAACTGTCATAATTGTAGCTACTTGCTGCGCTGAAAATCATTCATTTGGTCTTAGAAACTTTTGATTGCCATGCTAAGATTTAAAGAATTCTGAGACATTTTACGGATTCTTTTATTCTTGAACAGATATGTAAGTCAACTGAATAATTTCCGAAGGACGTAGCAAACCGAACAAAAGGTTTGACTTCTCGAAAGGATTTACATCATAGTATTGTTTGTGAGCAACATTGGAAAAGCATCAATCATTTCAGGAATTCGTAGTGGTTGATTTTTAATGATCGGTTCTTAGAATGGATTAAATTAGGTGACCCCAAGGATTGACGGGGTTGGCGAATGGATTAAAATAGTTTAAAATTGAAAACCGTTACAGGGAATTCTTTGAGGAATGCAGTCATGCTAAACACGAAATATTACTAATGTATTATAGTTGACCTTACTGATCAAACAAGCATTCAGTGGAATAGAAGTGGGAAGAAGTGTTGAATTTCGCAGAATTTACTCTACAGGATTATGATGCGCAATTTTAATTAGAATATAGGAGTTTGGAAAAATTGAACAATTTAACAATTTTCTAGTATAAGTCGATAACCATTTTCAGCTTTTTTCACTGACCTAAATGTAATTATAACACATTCATTGCTTTCGTTTTTCCTGTCATTGAAACCTTTATTTTATTTATAGCTGAAAAACATGCAATATGAGTGGTATATATTTCAACATTTTAAAAGTTTGAAAAGCAGCTTCGAAGAATGATGTATTACATTGCTATCATACTAATTTAACTCGGGACAGCTCCATTAATCTTTAATGAATTTTTTACAATGTAGATGGATTTCAAACTTTCGTATGCTAATCCCTGAATGATTTTAACAAATGGCTTTTTGTAGCAAAATTCTTGTTTTTGAAGATTTTTCTGCGGAATGAATTTTACATTGTCAAATTATCCTTTTTTGAACTATTTGCATGTCTTGTTATATATTATGGCATGTAAAGGAGGATTTTAATTTTGCTAACTTGAGTCATCTTTAATAACCTTTAATTTTACATTTCATTACGTTGCCGGCCAGATTTTTATTTGGGCAACAGTGTTGTGATCTGAATTGCTTATTTATGTCGGCACTAGAGCTACTGTTGGAAAAGTGTACTTTTATATGACAAAAACAGTTAGAGCGATTAATTGAAGATTCGGCTATAAAAAGTGATATATTTACATCTTTCTTTACAGCCATATCTTCTCATTTCCTCGAAATTTCAAATTCTATCTCCTTTGTTTTTTCGTATTATGGTTTTGAGACACTTTTATTTTTCGATAAAGTCTCTAAAATTTTAACTCAGTTGTCTAATCTTAATTCCAGATCTTATTTAGCAGTGATTCAAATCTCGATGTTCTCTAAAACTAAGAAAATATGGACATTGTGTTTTCGGTAAATGTGCCCAGTAGTGGGGAGTGTAATTGTTTGTGCATAAAAAAAGGCATCAATACTAGCATTGAATAGCTTTTGTTGCTGTATATTTGTTTCTGATTTCTCTCTTTTTCATCCCTTTGCTGTTTGCTTACTAAGCCACCGAAATCATCTTGGATTCTTTTATGCATAAGTATATCATAATGTGTAGTGGAACTTGAGAGTAGGGAGAATTACGAGAGATCGGAGAGAAGACGAGAACGGGAGAGACATTATGCAGGGAGATATGGAACGCATAGATATGTCGATTACAGAAGTGATTGTGTTTAGAGGTCAGCGATCATCTGATGCTGATGGTAATCAGTGAAATGCTGTAATAATGCAAGGACGATTGTAAAAGCATGATATCAACAGCAACTGTAGGAGGGTTATTAAATATTTTATAGAATAGTAAAGTATATTGTACATCGTCAGTATATTATTCCCAATGATGAATTTATCAAGGGGAGAATCAGACCTAAGTTGTAAATTTATGATTAAGTAGGACTTAGTTCAGTACATCCTTTGAATACCGGCATCAAATATTAGGAGGAAAACATGTGATAAGTCATACCTTGCACAAGGAAAAAGAGGATTTTTTTCAAAACAACTAATCACCAATAAAGTTTTTATAGTAAAGTTAGATATATAATTGTAGACATTGTTTGAAATTATGACTAAAGTGTTTTACTCGTTATCATTTCTGATAGGTAGGAAATGTTTCATTTTAACTGGACATGGATTTAATAATGTGGCTCTCAACTTGGCGGTATGACCGACTATGTTTTGAGGTTGACTTCTAGTTGATGTTGAACTATTCAAATTTTTATAGCTAGCATGTGCTTACGTAAGGATCATGAAGTAAAGATCATGGAAAATTTAAATTTAAGCTTTTACCATTAGACCTTTCAGTCACCTCGACAGACACAGTGGAGAGCAAACTGAGTTTTGTTTTCGATTGTCATTAATTTCTCGTCATGATGTGCAGTTTTTCTTAGAAGTTCCCGCATAATTTCATTTGGTGTTTAGTATGCATAGCCTTTCCTTATCATTGTGCAGCAATAGTTCCTGGTTATAACAATCAATTTTTGAAATTTTGGACATGATGTTTTGCTGCTCTATTGACCAACAAGATCCTATCCAAGAAGAGCCAGTCCTCTATTTTTCATTTTATCCTGTGGCCATGGTGCAGAACGAAATGTATTTTTGAAGTGTAAATTTTGAAACGTCTTGAGGGTGTTTTCATTGGTGCAGGGGATAATTAGAAATTTTGTCCGCGTTCTGAAAATCAAAGGGATTTTATTGCTTATTTTTTGTTTTGAAGTTTTATTGCCCATATTCTTCCTGTCAGATTAGATTCTGGATTTTGACGTTGTAAATTCTAGGAGTCTCATTTGCAAGAGGCGATCCTTGCGCAGCAGGCCAGTACATCGGGTATTGCTGTAGAAAATCATGTCATACCAACGCCAAAAGTTTTCACTGTCGATCGCGGATACTATGATGCACTATATCCGGTACAACCAGCACCATCTATCAATCAGCTCATCAAAGTACAAGGTACGAATGCTTCGGCTCTATGCTATTCCCTCCTTCTCTCCTCTCTCTCGTGTATTTTTGCCGATCTTCCAAGTTGCGAAATTTAAATTTCAAAATTTTTTCAAATTCTTGATTCTTGAGCTACACCTTTGCTATATCCCATATCTTGTTCAGTGCTTACGTAAAGAAAGTACAGACAACGAGCAAATAAGAATTTTTCTTTTTTCATAAGTGCACTTTCATTTCTGTCTGGGAAAAGTATGGGAGGAAGATGGGCTTAAGGTCTACTGTAGTGGCGGAGTTTATGATCATTCGGCAAAAATTGAAAACAATTAGTTCGAAGAAAAAGAAACAAAAGATTTTGGGATTTTCTTTGTCTTAAGGAAATTTCTTAATGGGACAAGAAATAAAATGAATAATTATATTGGCAAGTAGTGAATTTGAGTGTTCCATTTCGAAGCAAATTTATTGATAAATTCAGATTCTCAAGTATTTTTTGGCTTTGATCAAATTTTGTGTTACCTCTGGGTATCATCACATTGGTGTTATATTTTGTGATATATTCATCATAACTGCTAAAATCCATTTTCTTAAGTCTGTGGATAAACTAGGAAGGGGCTTCCTATATGTTTCTTATGATTCTTGTTCAGCCTAAAATGTGCGTTATGATTGAAAAGTGACTTTATGGAAGAAAATAGATTTCCTACCATTGTAACATAGCTTCTTTCGGGTTGCTACTCTTTTACATAATATTTGAAACCTATTTTTTTTTACATAATGTTTGTGGTTTGTAATTGGCGGCGGGAACAAAACAAGCGAAATGTGTAAGAGCTGAACGCACTTATCTAAACGTCATGGTAGAATGTAGAGTTGCAGGATTTCTTTTCTGAACAAAGCGTTTATACAATTCTTAAATATGTCGAGTAAGATATTGCCTAGAATTATATTTATGTAGATAATGGAAGAGGGGACAAGTTGTTTTCGTAATTTAATACTTACTAATAGCATATGGAATTGTTTGACCCTGCATATTGCACAAATCATATATCCTCGCACAAGCTATATCTTTTATCAAATCCAATGTAAATAAATGTTGATGTACTTGATTTACATTTGTTTTGAAAATTACAGATTGATGAAATTTCTTTGTTGCAGATTTTCATAGAGGTTATCTTAGTTACTGAGAACAGAAATTTATGATACAATGCCGTATTTTTTTTAAAATCTTTCTCGCATAGATAAAAAGTCCAAAATTGAGACTTCGTTTTATCACTGTGAGAAAATGAGATACCCTATTTTCGGCTGAAGTAATTCGAGAGACTTGAAGAAGCTGGGCAAAAAATTCTTGGATCGACAAGTTAATGGATTATAAGGAATACTTCATTGTTTCAGCTAATCTTCGACAATGAGCTTGTTTTCAGAAAATTACTTTTCTCGTTTTTAGAATTACGGATTACTCCAATTAGGTATTGATTTGAGAAGTGTGGACTAACTGGTAAATAGCCAGAAAAGCTGATTGGGGTATCAATATACGTCTTGTTTGTTTTTTTGTGGCACTGACATTGGTTTGGTTGATTATAGGAATATCGAGAAACATTCATTATAAGCGAACAGGGATAAATTTTGCAGGATGAAAAAGTTTTTTCTTCGTGAAAAAAGTTTCTTTTTGTTCGTCTGATTTAGACCCGAATCGGACCAAATGAAAAAGATAGCATAGTGAAATCTTTACAAGACATCATAGATAATGGAGAGAGAGAGATTGGTGCCTTACAAAATAAGATAATAATTTGGCATTAAGATGGTAAAACGAATAAGATGATAATAAAATAAGATGATAATTTGGTATTAAGGTGATAAAAAAAATAAGATGATAATTTGGCAATAATTTAGATCTAAGCTTGCACAAAATTGGGTTGATTTATGAGTTTTTACAGATTATTTTCGTCTTCAATTCTCAGTCTTCTGGATTTTATTCTCATATATCGAAGTTTGGTCATGCCCATACTTATGTACTTATATAAGGCCTTTGTATATCTTCGTTCATTTTGATTTAATGAAGTCTTTATTCATCAACTTCAAAAATATTACAATTTCAACATTTCTTGAAAGAGGAGATGGTCAAACTAAAAAATGCTCTCTCCATTATTGCTTTTGAAATCTTTTCTTTAGAAAGGGTTCGTTGTTTTATACATTAGTCAGTTTACAGCTTCATTATCGCTTGGAAATGAGGAACCTGACTATGATATCGATAGTGAGGATGAAGCATGGTTGGCCGAACGTGGGGGACTTACTGCAGAGAGTGATTTCGAAAAGATGATGGAATTGCTGGAGGGTGCCAGCAGCGGTTTACAAATATGTCAGCCTAACGAGGCGCGGTCATTGCTCAAGGATTTCGAAACAGATCTCGTTGATGATGTTTATGATTATTGGTTACAAAAGCGTAAGGCTAGTTTTTTTTCCGAATTTTAAAATGACTCAAAAATGTGAAATTGAGGGCAAGATTTTACAATTCGCATGTTTTTTTTGTCGGTGATGTAACACCCTGAAACGGTATGCAACTTGGAATTCAGGATGCAGCAGCATCGCATAAGATTGCTTCATTGATTCCACGGGTAAAAACGGATGCGCGTCGGGATGCATCGGGTTCGGACATTGCTTATGTTGCATTTCGACGACGTTTAGAACGAATGCAGACCAGAAAAAATCGTAAGAACGACGAAGATTCGTATGAAAAGATACTAAAACTTGGCCATGATCTCAGCAGGGTTGTTGTCCTCTTCGACATGCTTAGACGAAGGTAAACAAACTTCAGATTTTCATCTTGGTTCCATTTTTAGAATTGATTCTCAGTACATTTTTAGAGAATCCAAATCTTATAAAATTCTATTATTCGATTCTTTCAGGGAACACACCAAACAAACCGTCATAGGATTAGATGATAAAATATGCAAATGTCGATGGACTGTTTGCGACTTCAGTTGTGTCCTTTACAATCACATATTGTCAAAAATGAAATTGGAACGCAATGCGACGGTGAGCCCTACCGAAGAATCGCAGGTTAGCATCCAATTAATTGGAATTGAATACTTCAGGTTGTCTAAACACGTTTTTTTTCTTTCATATATTCTGCGTGTACCGCGGAATATTTACTAATTGTTTTTTGTCAAGACTGATTTTTTATAGTTTGTCCAAGAAAGATGAAATTTAGTTTCGTTATATCCAATAATCACTATATCATGTGTTCAATGTCATTAATTTTCAGGATGAATTGCCAAGTAGTATATCACCAACGAAAATCAAAGGGCAGAAGCGAAAACGACATTCCAAAACTTCGACATCTGAAGCGGATAAAGATTTAGTCACTCGTGCATGGTTGAGAAAGAACGCAGAGGTAGGATCAGCAGTGATTTGGAAATGAAGGAAATGTATCAGGAATTCAGTTTTTGAAGTTACTACATCACAGGGAAAAACTAAGATTTTTGCAAACAATTCTTTAGAGTTTTAAT